TCTAGACACTGCCTGGCTCCACAGGGAGCTCAGCAACTCTGCCCTGGCTGGCTGTCTTCAAGCAGAGACAGTGGATGTGTGTTCTTGCTCATTGGGAAATTCTGTAAGAGTAGTCACAGATGAGATTAATAAATCTCAAATAAGGTTGACATATGAATTGGAAAAATATTTAAAAATAAAAATCCATGGCATATTTATGTGTGTGTTTACATTCATGCAGTAAGTGTAGTTTGAAGGTCTGCCCTGTGCCAATAGCATATCACTGTGTCTTTAGATGTTTTCCAGTTTTCATCACCCCCACCCCACACACAACCCTTTCCCAGTGTCTGATCCATTCCTCACTGTGACAATCTCACTGCCTGACAGCTGCTCTTCTGTACTGAAACTGCCCCTTAAATACACAAAATGCAGATCCTTGCCCAGAAGTTCCAACGGAAAGAAAAGGGTGACTGGTTTAGGTGTTACGGATAAAGTGGCAAGAGACTCTAGAACGTTTTTTTTTTCCTTTCTGTTCACCTCTCAGAGGATTTTGTATTTTTGTTATTTGAGAGACGATTTACTTACCCTTCCTATAACACTTTTTGTCCCAAAGTCTTCACCCCAAACACCTGCATGTCTGACCTTCCTAAGACTTTTCCAGACACTCTGGAGATTCCCAGAGTTCAAACAAACATACCAAAAAAAAAAAAAAAAAAAGCATCAAATAAAATCTAGATTACCAGTTAAACTTGAATTTCAGATAATAGTGAATAATTTGATAGTGTAAGTATATTCTAAATATTGCATAGAACATACTTATACTACAAAATTATTTGTAGTGCTTCTAGTATTTGCTAAATCTGATGAAACTTTCAGAGATAAGGGACCTGGGAGGGGGTGAGCTGTATTGTTTCATTTAGGATCTAAATTAAATCAGAGGGGCTGTAGCCAGAAGCCCTCTGTGGAAGAACACCCAAAAACAGAGAGAAGTAAATGAAAACACCATGGAGGGTGATTGTATCTGCTCTTCTTAGGCTCGGTGTGTCTCATCCTAGGCCATGTCCACCTGCAGCTTTCTGAGTAGGAAGGTGGCAGGCTTGGCTGCAGTGGGGGATGAGAGTCAGGAAGATGTGACTTGCCCTGGGAATGGTAAAGCAGAAAATATCAGATTTATGGACAGTGTTACTTTTATATCAAACAAAATATCAAGGTATAGCATCTTTACATTTGTGGAAAAATAAACAATTTAAGGATTTATAAACCTTTATAGTGGATTCTAAGTAAGCCCAACAGATATTTAGGAGGACAACCTTAAGAATTCTAACATCACCTTTCACAGTTTCTCTATGCCATAGATTTGTTCTTTTCAAAAAAATAGCCATTATTTTATGATATAATAAAATTCTGTCTATCATTCTACCATCCTATTACTCCTAATGCTCTCTCTCTCTCTCTCTCTCACACACACACACACACACACACACACACACACACACACTCACATTTTTTATTCCCTTTTCTCTCCTACATGATCTTAGTATTATTATATTAATTTTCTTCTACTGGTTTCCTTCTCACATTGAATCAAATACAATGTGAGAATCACAGAAAATACAATGTAGAAAACACAGAAAATCTACTTTCTCACAGGACCTACTAATTTTTGAAATAATGCACTCATCTGTGAGAATCAGGAAATTACTTTGCTCTATTTTTAACTATTTCCCCCATGTACACAGGTCAGATTTACATACGTGTTTGTATGACATGACGTAAATTTTTCTTTTTGCTTCCTTTCCTTTGCTCATTATTCTTGGATACTCACAACATAATCAATTTTCCTAAACTTCCCCTTACCTGAAAATTTTTTTTTGTTTTTACCAATTCCAGTTATTAGCTATAACTTTCCCCCAAAAAAATGCACATTCTAAGTCTTGGCTTTTTTTATCAGCTCATTTTAGTAGCTCAAATTTTCCACAAAATATACTATTAAGCTTTTCTCTTCCAGCTTTGTTTCTTCTTCATATTAGCAAAATAAAGTCCACAAAAAGTATCTGATGCCATGTGAGAGAGTCATGATGATGGGCTGGGTTCTAAGTAGCCCTAAGGATACCCTAGCGACATGAGTGAGAATTAGCAGAGACTCATCTGCAAATCACAGCAAATTGGGAACTGAGTTAGAGAGTAACTTATAGTTATGCTTCCTTTGATTTATTGACCTTTGGCTTATCTAACTATTATAGAATCTGATATTCTCTCAACCTATCTGCTCAAGCACCCAGATATCTCTCCATCTAATGACTGAACCACTTTTATATAAACCATTGCACTTGGGACTACTAGGTTAGGATTAGAGCTACTATAGAAAAGTAAAATAGAAAAGTGAGGAATTATCCTTACGACCGTGGGAAAACAGACACCCTTACCCAATCATCCGAATATTTTAGGTAAAAGTAGAACTTGGTGCTAGAAATATACTCGAACCTCCACTTCAGAGTATTTGATTAAACCTGCCTCATATGGAATGTACAAACGCATGTGTATGAGAGTAAGGACACATTTTCCTTTTACTTCCTACCTTGAGCATTTTCTAGGCTCTATCAAAAGCATTACCACAATGAAGCTAGACAGGCTTGTATCTGCTGAAACCAGTAGCCTAAATAAGTAAAAACATTGTATAATAATCATCAGTGGATACTCCCATACAGCTACACAGATACCCACCATGGTCAGAAAGGACACGAAATAAACCTTTTGCAGTGGCTACCCAGGAAGTAGTACTGGGAGGATCAACTGATACCAAGAGGGAGATTTTTCAAATAAGCATTCATTGGCTTTTGTGATTTTAAAAGTCAATATAATATTTGAATAAAAATCATACTCTGACAGAAATAGGCAAACTATCATGATATATGATTCTCTGATATTTTAAGAAAAGTTTTCACTTCGAAATTACATGCTTTCCAAAGAAGCTTTGCGTAGCAATATCGTTTTATAAAGAGTCAGTAGATTCACTTGACACTAGCTCTTAAAATTTGTGCTATATTATTTTCATATTAGGAGAAGCTCAGAAAAGTTGACCAAGTTGAACTGGTCTCCTGTCCCTCACAAAGTCCCCAGCAAGAGCAGTGAGGCCCCAGGAGAAGTGTCCCTCTGGGCAAGCAGCCTGTGTTTTCCAGCCAGAAAGTCAACATTGTTTGCCCTCTTGGGTGTGGCTTGGGGCACAGTGACATCAGTATTTACAGTTAGATTTTTTTAACAAGACAGATCATATTTTCCCCTAAATTGAGACACATTCTTCATAATCTTACTTCATACAGTCTCCCATTGCTATCAGCTCTGACACACCTACTCGTCTTGCTCTGTATAGCAAAAACAGTTAACCTGTGGATTAGCTGAGGTCTAGGCTAATGTTTCAGTTGTCTTACATATTTGGGTCTTCACCCCGCAATCAGCCACCCCACCCGGGAGTTACATCAAACCCACCTTCTTGTACCATACACTCCAATCCCACACACCTGGCTCCCCACTCAATCACCAAACAACTCCTAAATACATAAGCTCTTGAGCAGAATAAATATTAAGGAAATAATTTATATTTGCAATACACATAGTAGACATTTGATAATGGAGGAAGAAGGGAGAAGCAGATAAATACTTTTTATTGTGATATAATTGACATATAACCTTGTGTAAGATTAAGGTGTACAACGTGTTGATTTGATATATTTATATATTGCAATATAATTACCACCATAATGTTAGGTAACACCTCTATCATATCACATAATTGCCACTTCTCTTTTGTAGTGAGAACATTTAAGTTCCAGTCTTTTAGCAACTC